GGGGGAAAGGCACGGGAACCGTCGAGTGCACCGCTGATCGACTAGTTTTACTGCAAATAAGCCTTTCCGAATTTAAAGGGTGATTTTTGGAAGAGCGCGAACACTCATCAAGTGCCGCAATGGTATTGGTACGCACGAGTGGAATATGATGTTGAGCATGGAGTTATGCGAAGAGAAATCAATATGTTGTCAAGTATTTGCATGATGAATAATGATAAAATGCGATATTTAATAATTGTAAAGACATTTAAGAAAAGAAAAACAAGGAGATAAGTCAGTTTCCATAGTAAAAGTGATAAAGCAGGGGACAGAGATTATGAATGAACTAGGACAAACAAATAAATTCACATAGAGTGGGAATGGGTGTGCAAGTATTAAAGACGTGCTCAAAGACTAATTCACAGACAAACTCGTTATGGTAAGAGCCTAAAGATTTCCCCAGCAGAGTCGCCATGCTGTCGCGCCCCCTTTTTCTCGCGAAATCGGGTTTCAACATTTTGGGACAACTCCTTTCCTTTTGGGATTGGGCAAGGGATTCGAAGAGTCGCCACCTAACGGACAAAGGTGCGTTAGGGAACCTAGAACAACTAACTCATATAACCGGTTTACGTCACCAGAGATCGGGTAAGGGCTCGAAATTACCTTGAAGGGAAGGTTCTAGGCACCCCTCGAGGTCCACAACGGTGGGTCCGGCCGAACTTAAACTAAGCGAATTAGTCTTATGGGAAAAATGATTTTTTTAGACAAATAGACATTACTTTAAAACAGGAATTAAAAGGGGTCCTAGGTTTTCTTTCGAGTCTATAGGATTATTTGCATGCAATACTTGGTAACCTTCCCCAAGTAGGGGTGCTTAGCGCACGTGTCATCATTTTCTTTACTACCCAATTACTATCTTTCAGTTGTTACCTAAGCGTTCTAGTAGCTTCTAATGCGTACCTTATGCGAGCACTACCCGTCCCTTACCTATAGTCCTAGATGTATTTATGACCTCTACTTAGGGTGGTTCTAGACCGACCTATATTGCTTAAAAAATGAGAAAAGCTAGGCGACAAACAAAATTCTAATAGGACTTTATGTAAAGAACAAATAAGGGCTCACATTGACCTCCACAAGTTGACAACAAATGCACACAATTCAATCGGCAAATTTTATTATTAGGGATCCTATAGACAGGATATCTAGATGAGCAGAAACAGAATACAGAACAACACTTTACTAAGGCGGGCATCTGGACCTATCAATGTTGCCTACCGATTTTATTAAGCCTTGAATCTAGGCATCTTCAGGCAGTAAATATCGGCGTTTTAATCCCCAGAATCATTAATACCGTACAAATTTGCCTAAGTGATTAACATAATCTTATAGGCATGGTATCTACAACTGTAAACCTATTGCATGGTTTCTAGGTATGATTTCTAGGTTTTAATCTGATTCCTTTATTTCCTATAGGCATGCTATCTGACTGATTTTTAGTTCCTATAGGCATGATCTCTATTAATCACATGTAGGCAGAATTCTTTAAGCATATTGCCAGGAAAGTTATTATTCAAACAGATAGGATCCTATAGACATGATTACTATTGCATGTAAAAATGTGCATGGATCCTATGAGCATGATTTCTAATGCAAAGAGTCTATGAACGGGATTTCTAGCATGCGAGGGAAGTACAGAATAAAGCAATTAGAAAGTCCTATAGACATGATCTCTAAACAAGTAATAACACTCACATATTCACCAATAAACCTATAGGCAGGATTTCTACCTGAGTTTTAAGCAAAAATATAGGAACCCCCCCTAACTTTAACTAACAAACCCCCGATCTGTTTATTATAGAAATTATTACAGCCCAGACTGAATAAACTATATAAAAGTATCTATTACACTATAGGGAGCCTTAGCAGGCCCAATATAAACCTGAGAGCCAGGCCTTCAACACAATAGCCTTGAAACAATAGCAGGGATCCACAACACCTCAGGCTTCCAGTGTGTCAAAGTTCCCAAAGATCCCCAGGGACCCCGAGAAATGCTCACACTGGATCCACACATTCAACACAGAATTCATATGAGATTAGAAAACCAGTTTAATTGTGTTAGAGTTCAAAGGACTCTCAGGGACCCTAGGCAGTGCTCACACTCGAGGTGGTAGGAACCTAGATAGCTAAGAGTAAAAGTTTGAAACATAGTATATATAAGGGGTAGGGGACAGTTTTAGAAAACAGTTTGATTTTTTTAGGAACAAACAGGTTCAAATTACACGACTACAAACAGAACAGAGTCCATATTTAGCAGATTGGTATTAGTTCAGACATGGATGATATATCAGTACTTAAAGAAATCGCAAAAAGAGCAGAGATACTTGAATTGCAGATACAACCGACCACACATATTAGAAATACCTAAACCTGTTCTTAATAGGGAGCATACAGCTGAATCCATCAAGGTTTCACATTACTAAAGATTACTTAGTTTATTAATTATCACTAGGTGGGACCATATTGGCATGTATTAAACAGAAACATGCTGAAGTTTCGAACAAACACACAGCACAAGGTAGCAGGAAATAAAGCATACTAGTCTAGAAAGAAGTAAACATAAATCAAGGGCAAGACATGCTAAGGTAAACTAACCACACAAGCACATAGAACATAGTACGTTAATAGGAATTAAGGCATACTAGTTAGGAATAAAGCAAACGGCAAGAATATGGCACACAGAAGCATATCGAGGTTTGAAGCAAACAATCATATAATCACATGGAACAGAACAAGATAAAAAGAACTAAGGTTTAATTGACAGCCAAAATAAACGGGCAAACATTATAGCAAGCAGTAGAATAATTAGAAACCCTAGGGCATAAAGACATAGGGATGAAAACCAATCGAAAAGTAAAGGAAGAAAACTAGAGTTAAACACTTAAAAGTTTAAAAATATTTTTGCAGAAACTTCTTTCAAAAAAATTGAAAGGGGAAAAACGAAAATTGGTCAACAATAATAGGAAAAACAGCGGAATCTTAAAGGAAAAGTAGCAAATGAACTCAAACCGCTTCAGATCTAAAGAGACCTGAACGGATTTAGCCAGAAATGGTTAGGTTATAAAAAAAATAAACAGAGTAAGAAAAATCTGGTTTGAACCACAGATTTGAAGCCTTTAACACGAATATATTAGTACCCACAGACATAGGAATAAACACAGACGGATTCATCGAGAACATGAGGGATTTTAACCAAATCTGGTTCGAATCTCTTTGAGACTCCATCAAGCAATACGAAAATCATACCACCAGTAGAGATAGGAGGCCAGATAAGGCCTGGAATCGAAGAAGAAACCCATGGATCGAAGGGATTTTGGTGACGATGGGCTAGGGTTAGGAGGAGGGTGAGAGAGAACAGAGGAGGAATGGTTTTAGTGATGGCGGATCTTAAAAAATGAATAGGGTTTGAGGGATGTTTAGTTAATTAAAATGGAAGGTAAATCCTGGACCGTTGATCTTTTGAGAGCGGCAGCCAGGATTGAACCTGGGTTGGGGCGGGCATGGATCAGGGTTATGGGTTATGGGTTGATGGGTTAATTTAATTGGGCTGGGGTGGAAATTGGGCTAAGATCCGAAAATCAAATTAAAAGAAGCTATATGTTAAATACATAATTAATTTGATAAAATAATTTATAAAAATAGCTAATAAATGATAAAAATGCTATTTTTGCATGGAAATGATTTTAAGTAATTAGTTAATATTATAAATATTTAAAAGGTCATTTTCCGTGTAAATAATGTAATTATGCATATAAGGGCTAGCAAAGTTATTGCAATTATAGCCTAAAGATATAAATATATTTATGCATAAAACGACTAAGGCTTAATAAAAATATAAATGATAAAAATCAAGTACTAAATCATTATAAAATTATTTGTGATGCAATTAGTAATTATTTAGATAATAAATGCTGGAATAAATTAATTAAAATCCTTTTAAAATTATGAAAAAATATTGGTGGCTGCTCATGTACTATTTTGGAAGTATTTATGCATTTTAAAATATATGAGAGAAAAATTGACTATCAACACTAGGTAGGAGATCAGTAACCCAAAACCAAAGAGCATGGATAGAAAGTTTACTATAAATAAAGTAATAGTACAATTGGTACAATTGATATGAGGTAGTCTTAGTAGATCAGATAGGGCTGTTAGGGGGAGTATGGAAGAATAGAAGGGATTCAATTGTAAAGTTTTGTACAGGTGATCAATAAAACTCTTATTTTCACCCAAAAAAAAAAGGTGAAAACGATTAAGATGAAATATTTCCTTATTCCTTAATTTGATCCGTAACAATATTTCTCAGAGTATAAGGTAAACTTTTACTTTGTGCATGCCAGGATAATTATTTCCTTCTCCCCTTTAATTTAATGTTTCTCCTTATTTTATAAAATTATAATCAATACATACCTATTCTTTAATTATTTTCCTTGTTTCTTATAATCAGAATTCTCCATCTTTAACCAGAGATCTCAGGCTCGAGCACTAAGAACGATTTTTTTTTTTTTTTTTTTTTTTTTTTTTTTTTTTTTTTTAAAGAGTTGCTTTTATATTTTAATGAATCTTACACGGCACATATCTGGGATAGTCGAGCCGCACAACAGGTATTTGGACAAGGGACCGAGAAACAAAAATCAAAACCAACACCAAGACCATCTCACCATAAGATTAATTTAATAAGAGCCTATACAAAAAAAATAAAGTTACCATGATTTTTGATGTCTTTCATATTTAAGTAAATAATCAAATTCTAGAGCCATCAAATTTTACATGTTAGCAAACTAACTTCAAACGACACACACAATCATTATTGGCCACAAGCTCATTAGAGGTATATCTTAAGTTATGCCTCAAACATCTCTACCTCAATCGTCTACTGGACATGCAAAATTAAAGGCAACACCAATATTTAACCCTCTCTCTCCTTAGCACTATATAAACCTCCCTATAACATGTTAATTCATTCATCCATATCCTCTCTTTGGTTTTAAATTATATTTATAAACACCAACGAGAGGATTAGCCTTGTTATATTTCACTATCATCTTTAGCATTCCCTTTTTCCTTTAAGAAATTTATCGGAAAAAGGGCCAAAAAAACAGAAACTTGAAATTACCAAAGAAAAAAAGAAAGAAAGAAAAAAGCAAAGATGGTAGGGAAAATAGTGGTTTCATTGGTATCTTTGATTCTTTTAGTAGGTGTAATTGTAGGAGTTGTAGTTGTTGTACACAAAAATGGAGATAACGATGATGATAAAAGCACCAAAGTTCAAATGAAAAAAGTTGACGAATTTTGTCAACCTACATCATTTAAAGATGCATGTGTACAAAGTCTTGATAAAGTTGCATCTAACGATTCTGCTACAATTAAAGACTATATTATGGCTGCTTTTGAATATACTGTACAAGAGATCAAGAAATCTTTACATGAAACTGGAAAAACCAATGTTAATAAGGAAAGTGATCCTTACAATCACATGGCAGTAGAAGATTGCAAAGTACTATTGGAAGATGCAATTGAAGAACTCGAATCCACGCTTAAAGTGGTTAACGAGAACGAAATGAAGTCCCTGAATGATAAAGTCTACGACATTCTGAATTATGTCAGTGCTGTTTACTCTTATCAGAGCGAGTGTATAGATTCCATTGACAAGCCTGAGTACAAATCCGCCATTGAAAAATACCTTGTCAACTCCACGCAATTGAGTAACAATGCCATTGACATTGTAGCTAAGATTTCATCTGCTCTCCAATCCTCGGACTTTCAAATTCCTGATGGTCTTTTAAACCGAAAACTTCTTGAAGCAAATTACCAAATTGGTCATGACAATTACCCTACATGGTTTCCTGTTGCTGACCGTAAGCTTTTGGCTAACACCCCAACTCCTCATGCAGTAGTTGCACAAGATGGAAGTGGACAATTTAAAACAGTTTCTGATGCTCTTAAAGCATACCCTCAAAAACATCAAGGCAAATACATAGTATATGTCAAGGCTGGTGTTTATAACGAACAAGTCCTTGTCGATAAGAAACAACCGAACGTGTTTATCTTTGGAGATGGCGCGGGGAAAACAATCAGAACTTCAGACAAAAATGTCGCAATCTTGAAATTCACCACCATGAATTCTGCTACATTTGGTAAGTACGCTCTCTTGCTTCAATTTATACGACGTATTTGACTGCACATGAAATTTAAGGAAGAAAGAATTTTTTTGAAATTTGTGTTTCTTAAACATGACATCACATTTATGTGGCTATAAATGCATTTCATTAAGAATAAAATAGGTAGTGTAAAGTTAAATTATTCTTCTATCAATACAGAAAGGCTATAAGTTTTTTTTTAACGGGCTAATAAAAATATTGACACAAAAAATGAAACAGATGGAATTCTACAATATTGGAAAACCATGCATATGGATACGATTATGCATATGGATCAAACTATCTACACCGGAGAATGTAACACGATTAGTGATCTGATTGTATAAATATCTTTCGCAGGTGTTAACGCACCAGGGTTTGTTGCCAAAGGAATTACATTCCGAAACACAGCTGGTCCAAAAGGACAACAAGCCGTGGCACTCAGAATACAAGGTGATCAATCTGCAGTTTTCGACTGCAACATTGAAGGCTACCAAGACACCTTATACTATCAAAGCAAACGTCAATTCTATCGCAATTGTGTCATATCAGGCACGATCGATTTCATCTTTGGCAGGGGCACGGCTGTTATCCAAGATTCCACCATCATTTTGAGAAAACCAGGGGATGACCAAAAATGGAATACAATCACAGCAGACGGTAGGGAAGTGCAGTCACAACCAACAGGAGTAGCATTACAAAATTGCAAAATCGTCGCAGAAAAGGAACTCATCGATACTAAAATCGTCGAGAATTTCTTGGGACGTCCATGGAAGGCGTTATCGACGAATGTAGTAATGGAGAGTGAAATTGGAAGTTTCATTAAGCCAGAAGGATGGATGATATGGGATAAAAAACATTATGAGGAAACATGTGAATGTTATGAATATGCTAATAGAGGACCTGGTGCTGTTACAAATGCAAGGAACAAGGTTTTCAAGAAATTTAAAGTACTTAGCCCGCAGGAAGCAACTAAATATACTGCTGGTGCTGTTTGGTTTCAAGGAAAAGAATGGTTGCCTGCTACTGGTGCACCTTTTTACCTTGGTCTAGGTGGAAAATAAAGCAAGAAATTATATTCATTAGAGCAAGGTGATATCCTGTTGTACTCCTGAGGACCAAGTCCACAGATAAGGATTTTCTTAGCCTTTGTTTTCTTGTCCATCATTCTGAAATCTGCTGCTGCATATTCAGAAGGGTCTTTGGGAACAACTACATTTTGCCCATTTTGTTTAGTCGAAGTTAGTGGACCTTGAGTCACTATGGTCCATAGTTCATAGTCTTTAGCCGTCAAGGAATCTTCTATTCTTGCTTTCCACCAATTGCTGTATTTTCCATTATACAGGGGTGGTCTAGTATTTGACTATTCTTCGTTAATTCCAAGTGGAGCACTCATTTTACTTTCGAGATCTCTCTAGGTGTTTACCGGGTGTGAGAGAACCCGATTTGATACCAATTATTAGTTTGAGTTCCTTTATGGATTACTAAAGAACTTGGTTCGTTACCTTACTTCTTAAGCGTAAGCAAATATAAACAGTAAAGTAGACACAACAATATTTACGCGGAAAATCACCCGGCTCAAAAGGTAAAAAAATTACGACCTACCATGTAGGATTTTAGCTTCAACTTCACTAAAACAATGAGCCAAATGTATCGATTACAAATCTTTAACTCAATACTCTCCAGTTCTCCTACTTCAACTATTTGACTTACAAGTTACTCTACCTTGAAAAATCAAATACTCATTCCAACTCACTAATTGTATATAACACTTTGATTATAACTCGATTTCCTAAAATACATTTATTAGACCGACTCAATAAGAACACACCAATGGTACTCGACTTAAGAATAGAAAATGCAATTCTTTAGTTTCTATGTAAAAGGATTGTCTCAGCAGTCCAAAAAGATAGTATTTAAATTCCTTGGACTCCGAGATCTTTTGGGAGTCATATGCATAGTCAGATTCTCATTTGATGGACTACTACTACTCCAAGGACTCCACAGTTATTGGTACTCTTGTCTCTCGCTTATGCAAACATATCTTCTTGGGCAACACTCTTATCAAGTTTTGCAGTTCTTTTCCAACAAACTCGGACTTAGGTAATTTTGAGATAAAATTACTGTCTAGCAAGATCATGCAATTATCAACCTTGAGGAGCTCGTTTTTAGAGCAGTTAAGCAGCTACGTCGAGGACCTGGTTCTTAGAGCATTCGAACAAATTTTGTTAATCATCAAAACCTCAATACTCAACATACATACATAAAAAATGTCGTGATGCACACATTAAACAAACTTATTTTTATGCACTTATAAGTGCCTGACTAAGTGCCCCAAGCAAGCCTAACACCCGGTTGCCGGTCAACAATTTTTATAATCGTCATTATTTACCCGTAAAACAATATAGTTGAATTTATAGCCTGGTTTATAGATAAGTAAATTGATTGACCCCAACAATAAATAAATTAAATAAAATGAAAGACTTAGCGTTGAAATCGAGAGAAATAGCAGATAACTTGGTTCCGGGAGCAAGGTTTCCGATGGCAGCAATAAGAATAACGTTAGACGAAAAATAAAGTATTACTCCTTTAGTTCCAATTTATGTGAACATGCTTGACTGGACACAGAGTTTAAGATGAAATGAAGACATTTGGAATTTGTGGTCCTAAATAAGTCAAAAAGTGGCCCAGAGTATTTGTGCGGTTATATAAGCTTCCCATTAAGGGTAGAATTAAAAGTTTAAGCTAAATTATTTCAAAATTTAGAAAGGGGTCATTCTTTTTGGACCAAAAAGGAAATAGGTTCGCATAAACTGGAATGGAGGGAGTATTTAATTTGGGAACAATCTGTAGCATAAGTTTGTCAGAATTTTTGTGTGCTACAATAGCCTCAATTTATAGCTATACCTAAGGAACAAGGTCCTAGGAACAAGCCCCTCTTAAATGACAATAATGGTGGCCATTTATGAATATGTAATGACAGGTACTGAATGCCAAAATTCTCTGCAACGACTGCATATTTAATACTGAGGAATATTCTTCATTGAATGTCATCTAGTGGCAAACATTCATTTACTCCCGTTAATATTGTTCCCTTAGGGATCTACCCGATGTCAACTGAATTATTGTCCTCTGTCTTGGTTTCACTTGCTTCATTTTCCATCTGCCCCCCTATTCCACGTGTCACTCTGTCATTCGAGCATTTAATATGAATCGATTTCACCCTTTAGAGATAGTCCCCTTGCTTTTCGATGGCACATCTTTGTGTCATCGGGAAGTTAGTGAAGATTCTTTTCTTGGGCAAAAATTTTCTGAACCTTTCTGAAAAGTTTCTGACGCTTTATAAGACACACGTTTCCTCGCATTTAATATCCCAGACACGTGTTACCCCATGATTTAGCAATATTTTCGTTGGTCCTCGAGGTACTCACGGCTACGATTTTAGCAGCCTAGAACTTTACTTATACGTCTCATTCTACCTCTTTCATTTCTAACAACTTTATAAACTCTCTCAACTTCTTTGCTTTTAACTTCCCTCTACTTTCTTCTATATTTGGTATTCTTCTAAAAACCCTTATCGCCTTCTTAACATTATGGCTTTTTATGCTATCTCTTCTAAGAACTTTGGTCTTCTCTTCGGTGGGGGCCGAAGAGGAGCAAAGACAAGGAGGTTGATGTTGATTCTATTCCTCCCATGGTGAGGAACATCATTCCCAAGCCTCTAAACACAGCCAAGAACTTCGAAGAGAAGTTCCCCACTTCAAACTCTCGAACTTCAGATATTCGTAAATATCCTTATTTTATCTCCATTCTAGTATTCATGTTGTGAAGGAGGACTATGACAGCCACGACCTACACATCATTGCTCCCGATCTAGTGGAGTGGGTAACCTTCAAAAAGAAGGGCTTCACGTATGTTTACACGTAACATTTAACTTTGGGTGCATTTTATTAGTGGGAGACTTGACCCCGTGATTTTGGAATTATGCCACAGGTACCAAGTCTGCTTGGCTCAGTAGACCCCTCGGTGTGGCGAAAGGTGGCCTGTCTACGATGGATGTGCTAGGAAACGAATGAGCCCCTCACCTTGGCTCATATGATGAATCTCTACTCCCCCAAAATCTTTTGCGGGGGAGTAATAAACTTCAGCAAGTGTGACAACCATGCGTTGCTTACCAGCATGCATGAAAACAATGATCGTGGATGGATGAAGCGGTTTGTCGTAGTTCCTATCACGGATATCATCCTGGTTACAATCCATCCTTCCCCGAGTCTTGGACTCGTTCACGTAAGTTCAACACAGTTTATCTTATTCTCTGAAAATGGGCTTATTTATGTGTCACGACCAAAAATCCGTTAAAAGTTGTGATGGCGTCGGACACCATTGTCAGGAAAGCCAACACCAAATAATTATTTAATTCTCATTTTAATATTTCTAAAATCATAAATTTCCTTCAATTTAACTGATTAAAAAATGAACTTTACAGAATAATAATAGCGTTTCCAATTTCAAAGCTAAGTATCCCATAATCATCCCAGAAACCACTGTCACAAGTGCATGAGCATTTACTAGGGAAATAAGTAAAATACAATAACTCCCCGGAATACAAATTTGGACAAAAAAAAAATACAAGTACTCTGAAGGAGACTCTGCTAGCTGCGGATCGTACACAAGATGTAACTCGCCTCAAGTCCCCGTATCAACCACGCCGCTGCGTCCACAAGGCCACGTAATGTATGTGCCTGTACAACAAAATGTACAGCATGTGTAGTATGAGTACAAACATAATGCGTACCCAGCAAGTATCCCGTCTAACCTCGATGAAGTAGTGACGACAGGTCGACTTCGGCACATACTAGTGATCTAATAATATCACATACAATAAAGAAGTGAATAAATATGAAACCGACTAAATGTATGAAATAAACATGCATAAAATACATGGTATAATTCCCCTCTTTACAATTTTAGTCAAGTTATCAACTAGCAAGTTACCTCCATAACCAAAGCATATATATATAGATATAATCGATTTCATTAAGGGAGTTGTCATAATTCAAATCAGGGAAAAACCCCCAGATACACTACCTTCTAGCCTAATGTCACGCACGATTCCGTGAGAATAACACACACACACACACACACACACACACACACACACACACATATATATATATATATAGAGGAGATGCCGAGGCGTACAACCGGATCCAACATAAATGTAAACTCTGCACTGTCGATGGTCGAACGGTGCAAACCATAGATGCATCTATTAACCTGCCGAGGAGATCGGCCCACTCCCATGAGAGTAGTAAAGGTAATACCCCGCTCGCGAATCATACGTGCGACGCGGTAAAATATAATTTAAGGGACTTCCTCGCTCGCGAATCATACATGCGACGAGGCCAATTATAGATTTCTTAAGTTATATAATATTTATCATTTCTTTTCGTAAGTACGAAGTTTACTGAAAACTCTTAAAATCTCAAATTCTTCAATTCACATTTCTTTCAACCCAATTATTATGCAACCTTAATCTTGTTTCTTCTCAAACAACAATAAACATAAATTAACAACAATACCAATCAAGGCATGATGTAAGCCTAAAACTACCCGGACATAGGCATAGTTAGTAGCTACGTACGGACTCTCGTCACCTCGTGCGTACGTAGCCCCCTCAAATAGAAGCACATATTTAATTATTTCACCTATGGGGTTAATTCCCTCTTACAATGTTAGTAAGGAGAGTCACCTCGCTCCGAAGTTCCTTAGCCGGCTTCCCAAGCCCTTCCGACGACTCAAGTCGATCCACCACGCTCCAAAACTAGCCAAATAACGGGCAAATCAATGAAAATAAACCCTAATACTTTAACAATTCAAATTATATAAATTCCCAACTCCGCTCGAAAAGTTGAAAATCGCCCTCGGGCCCCCTTGCCCCGATTCCTAAATTTTTCGAAGATAAAGTTTACCCACAACCTCGCGAACACAAATATATAATCTACTCCCAATTTCATGTCCAAATCGTGGTCAAAATCCTAGAATACAAAATTTCTAGGTTTTCCTCAAAATCCCAATTTCTACTAATTTCCATGGTAAAACATATACTTAATCAATGTATTTAACTGAAACTAGTATAAACTACTTACCTCATGCTTGATGGTGAAAATGGCACCTCAAAGTTGCTCCAAAATCGGCTCCCATTGAAGAAAAGGAGTAAAAATGAGCCAAATCCCGATTTTTAAAGAACCTCACCGCCTCCAGCCTTCCAGCACAAGCGGTCACTTCACCGCTTCTGCGGTTTCACAGGTGCAGCCTATAATCCGCTTCTGCGATCCTCCTCCAGCCCTTCAACTTCCACATCTGTGCCCCCTCTTCCACAGGTGTGGTCCTGCTTCTGCGGTAGGATGACCGCATCTGCGATCCCAACACTCGTAGCCTAGATCGCATCTGCAACCCTCATGGCCGCTTCTGTGGTGCCACACCTGCAGCAAAAACCTCG